CAACGCACCAGATACAAACAATCCCACATTGTGGAAAGACACAGTTACGCAGGTAGTGGAATAATGGTTTAGGATCTGAGATCTCTTCCGGTGGTCACACTGACCTGCATGTGTTCCATCGAGGACCGGTGTGAGATATTGAGACGAGGTCCTTAATCCGTATGTCCGCCCATATGCCGCTGGTATTGGTCTTGGATTTCTTCTGATGGACGACAATGCTCGACCCCACCGAGCTTAGATTGCTGAAGACTACCTTGAGGTTTACGATATGAAATGCATGGAATGCCAGCTCATTCTCCAGACCCGAATCCGAGAAAGCATTTTTGGGACTACCTTGGGAGACAGGATGCTGGCTTTAAGTCCCTATTCAAGGTCGTTAGATGAGCTTGAACAAGGATTACTCTGTGTCTGGTCGTTGCTACCCATTTCAATGACTGACAGCTTAATTGACAGCATGGAATGTCGCTGCGCCTATGTACTGCAGCTAGGGGTGGACACCTGCTTTATTAGAACCCATTTTTTGTAATGTTACTACCCCATTTTTCCGCAAAAAACTCTGATGTACGATGATGTTTCTCCAAGATTGGATTTCTCTGCCAAGAGAGCAATTTTTTGTTGAAATTCATGTTTGTGTTGAACTTTAGAAACATTCTGTATTGCATTCATTAAAGAAAGGCAGTGAAAAAAGAAAAGACTGTTAAGTGAACATATCCTATAAATTTCTTGTTTCTATGTTTCTCTTCTCAAATTAGATACAAAAACATGCTGTTCCTTTACTTTAAGGGACGCAGTGTATTTTCATGTCTATTTGTTAAAATTTTCACAAATTTTGAACTACTTTTTGCACGCATTTTTAATAAAGATATTCATTTATAATGAAACTGAAATAATAAATTGCAAGTCTAATATGTTTAAAATACAGAATATTTAATTTAGATGTTGAATTCTTTAATTTGAAAAACAGCTTTCAAAATAAAAGAAGTAAACTTGAAACATTTAAATGAAAACCGCATTTTAGATTACTATCCTGAATTAACTCAAATTTTTGTTATTTTGAGATCTGCTAATCAAATTCACATTTTGTTTTAATATTTTTCTCTAGGATACAGCTTAGAATAAAAGAAAATAGCTGAGTGAGTGAGAATTTAAGTAAAAACTTTTAAGGAAAAAAAAATGCAAGAGAAAAAAAATTAAGAAAAAAAAAAATTAAGGTGGAAAAAACTGAGGAAGGATGAATGTTTGAAATCGTGTCAGTATTTTCGAGCTACAGAAAAATTTCAGTGTTTGATGAAAATAAATATTACTGATTGATTGAATTCTGGAACTTAATGACTAAAAGTCATATTGCCACAAAAAAGCCAATATTTAGTTTGTTATAATAATTAGTAGCAAAATTCACATAGAACTTACAAAAACTTACCATGCTGATGTTACTAAAGGGCGTCACGAAACGTTAGCTATGACACTTCATGTTCAGACAACCCTCCATATGAAGAGATGTTTGAACTTACAAGTTAAATGGAAGCTGGTTTTAATTCTTAATAAACCTGCATTTTCGTATAGTTAAACGAAAATATTTTAAATGACTGATTATATTTTCTCAGTATATTTTTCAGACAAAAGCTGTTCATTTTTATAATACTACTTAATGAAAAAAGAATGGAATTTTAAGGACCTTTCATAAGGACAGAGATGCCTTCATGAAGGATGTTTCAAAAACATTCATCCGTATTTACTTACATCGGAAAAGTCTCGAAAATTCCTATGCAATCACCACATTTATCTGTTGGGAACAGAACCAGGAGAGAGAGAGCTGGTCATTCGGATAATTTCTCTTGAGATCAAGCCAAGTTCTCAATTCGTGACAATCACTCCCTCATCGATAGGTGATATCAAAATAAAAAGGCTAGATAACAACGTTCTGCTTCCACCCGTTGATATGAGTTAATAAAGCGTTGAACTGTTTTCGAAGCAAGTGTAAGGAAAAATTTTAGTATCACTTTTTTTCCTCACATTCTTTAGCAGGCATTACATTTTATATAATAAAAATGTTATAATGACGATTTCTCTAAGAACCTTACCTCTGAAGCTAACTAGCGCTTCTCAAGCTCTGAAACACAATTGAGTAATAGTTACGGTTACACAATTAAATAACAGTTGAGAGTTAAGTTCCGTAAGGCCATTATTAATACAGAAGACTGAAATCTTGTAGAGCGCAGGACTGTCGTTATGGTTATACTTCAGAATAACTTTTTTATGATTTTACGAGGGACAAAGAGAGAATAGCTATCCTAGAACCATATATTATTTATGATCAATACAATGCTTAAACGTGTTTCAGCTCACTGCACGAATACGTTCAAATTAATAACATGTAGATGCATATGCCTGATCAGTATAAATTGCAACAGAAACTATTGTTATTTAACTAACACACATATTATTTGTGATTATATACTTATAATACAGTGATGGAAATATTTTACGTGTAAGTTGCAGGAAGTGCAAACAAGGTACAGTTGTTTGTGGAAGTTAAATATCAATAAACAACACCTCTAGCGTGATGCTGAACAAAATTATTGAGGAAATGCAATGAATTTAAAGAAGCGATTCTCTTCAGAAATATAATTAAACTTTTCAGACAAGAATATTCTTTCTCGGTAATACGTACACCATTTAAAGCAAGGGGTAAAAGTTCTCTACAAAAAACTCTACAAAAAAGAGTGAAGAAAATTTTGCTATCAAAGGAAGAAAGTGAAGGAATACTTTTATCAAAGGAATACTTTTATTATACATCATTTACTTTTATTCTACTTGGAATAGAATCTAAATTAAGGATGTTTATAGTTTAAGTTTATAGTTTTTCTAAAAATGTTTATAGTCATGACCTCTTAATATAGTTTGAAGTTAAATGTTAATCATAGGACGACATAATATTTAGTTACATGCAATAAAGTTTGCTTGATATGAGAGGAAGGACTTTTGCAAGTATACGATAACTCTTGGCCCTCCTTAGGTTTGAAGTTTCATTTATTGATATTTGGTTTCACCATAAGTACTTATAAACATGATATGTGTATAATATTTCTCTAGATACTAAAGCTTAACGGAAGAGTATTTAACAAGCGTTTAAAAATTTAGAATCAAACTTACATAAGACATAGTGAAGTCGATACATAATTCGCTGCCCAGTTTACTAATATGTTTACTAAATAACACAAGCATATTGTGTTCTTTAATCATGAGTTTAAATATGTGTTATTTAAGTGCGCAAGTGCTGAAATAAAACTTGTTGTAAAAAATCAAAAACAAGTATAAACTATGTCAGTTTTATGTTTGAACTTATTTCTGTGTGAATTTTATTATTATATATTTGGATGTATATCTCAGTATACTGACCGAAACTAAAGAAAATAATTTCATGAATTTTCACGTATTTCTGGTCGTATTTTCCCCGTTTACGAATAACTGTGGTTTTATACAATATAAGAAATAAAAAATAAAGCAACAGTTTCTTTATTTAATCTTGTCCAAGAACTGACATGCCAGTTCCTGTTACCATAACTTTCCTCGATAAAGATGCAATCTCTACAGACAGTCGATTTTAAAGAAATTGGATTTGAAATTTTTATTGCAATTTTTATATTATTTTCTGTCAATTTCATTCATGTAACCTAGTGGGATGTTTCGGAAAAAGCTTCCTGCGGAGTATTTCTTCTAGAGTATAGTAAAGATGGAGATGCGCAGAAATGGGATTTAGTTTTTTTTTGAATAATTAGAGATCTAATTTTACTGTAAATATAAAAATTATACGGTAAAAAATGCACATAAAATTGTTATGTGCACAAATATTTCCTAATTTATTTAATGTAATTTATTCGTATAAAATTTTCTATCGAATTTAATTTATTTACTAGACACTAATTTAAATGAAATGCTTGAATAAGTTATCCGACCGTTTGACAAATAAATATTATAACTATATTACTTATTATAGTTAAATATAAGTAACTAATATTTTATTTTAATTATTTAGTAAATAATAATTTAATATTTCAACTGGTAAATTTTATAAATAAAACAAATTATCTTTATCATTTACCTAAATTATGATAATGTTAATTTATCTAATACGAGTATCTTTTATATAAATTATGTTCATGAGAAAATTCTTATTTTTTTTAACTTTTTTGTATGAATGATATTTAAACCAGCTTTTGCATATGGCTATGTGAGAATAATTAGGTATTCTAAGAATTTAAAAAAATCTTATTCTTTACAAACGTAATAGATTTTTAAAATAAAACGAAATTACTAATTAATTATTATTTAGTTTCTAATTGAAGTATATCACTATTTAAACCTAACTAAGAATTAAATGAAAGTAATATGATATTATAAAACCACTGAAGTTGTTTTAATATAGAATAAAATTCGAATTCTTAAAGCATAAATGTCTTTACTGTAAAATTAAATTTCTAATTGATACTGAGTATTTTCAAATTTGCAAAATATAGCTCTGACTTTCAAATATTAATTTGGCCACCAGCGGCCGAGCGGTAAAGTCGCTGAACACTGGTAGTGCGGTCCGAGGTTCGAATCCTTCGAACGGGCTGGCTGCATGGGTGTTTTCGTGGTTTTCCTCATGTGTAACGTGTATACGAGCCAGTTTCCTTTAGAAAGTCTTCCACGAAGGCATCCCTCCCCTTAGGCAGATAGCCCTCGAGGCTTTGCCATAATCGCATACACACACAAATATTAATTTTAAGAATGTATGAAAGATTCAGGTAATACTGGAGAGAAACGGGAGGGGAAAATGCAGTTAAGTTGTTGGATATTAATCAGTTAATGAAAACACTGAAATTGTTTGTTTACAACAGGAAAACGGAATAGTTGTATTCAAAATTATGTCGGTAATGGTATCAGTCGACACGACTATAATAGCATATCCGATAGGTATCATTGTCGTGTCGAATATGCATGACAGTGACTGCTCGTAGATGGTGTTAGCATGCCAGAATCAAGCACAGGAACACGGTAAGCAGCTCGTCATGATGGAGGTGTTTTACGCCTAAAATATACTGAGAGGGATGAAAGCCATTTATCGAAAGATTCCATCAAAAAAGATCGAATAAGCAGTATGTACTTTTAAGCTTATAACCTTCGTTTTTGCAATTTAGAAAAGTGATTCAGAAATTTAATTTTCAGATAGAGAAAGATATGAAATTCTGTGATATATTCACACAGGACTGAACTGGAATTCGTCTGTATATCGCAGAATTAAATTCTATGATATATTGAAGAATTTGTGATTACAGACATAATCATAAGATTGTCTGGTTTACAGATCGAGAATTTCATAACAAAATATAGTTTTTTTTTAAGTAATGCTGAACTGTTTAAACTTTCCAAAACTGCAGATTTAATATTTCCTTGAAGTAATTGTAACCCCATTCAAAAAATCTGAAATGAAATTTTTAGTACGACTAAGGGTAACATGCGTTTAAGGGAATGATATTACTATTGTTGTAGAAGAAGATTCCAATAAATTATTACATTGCGAGAATCCTTTATTTTAAAACAGTTAAATTTTCTCAGTTAAATTATATTGCATGTATTAGATTGTACAACAGGAAAACGGAATAGTTGTATTCAAAATTATGTCGGTAATGGTATCAGTCGACACGACTATAATAGCATATCCGATAGGTATCATTGTCGTGTCGAATATGCATGACAGTGACTGCTCGTAGATGGTGTTAGCATGCCAGCGTCAAGCACAGGAACACGGTAAGCAGCTCGTCATGATGGAGGTGTTCTTACAAAATTGTGAGAGTTCAGTGAAGTGTTCTAAGAATTTTACTAAGCAACGGAGTCAAACCTATAATAATTCATCGTTGGATGAAAATTTATTACGGTTATAGATGGATATAGTGGATAAAAAGATAGAAATGGAGATAAAGATCTGAATCAGAAGTGCAAAGGATTCTCCTTGCCTGCATTCGGTACTCATGTAAGACGACATTGCAGACACGGAGAACATGATACGCGAACACCTAAACATCACAAAGAAACAAATGTCATCACTATAATATATTAATATTAAATCAACCTATCAGATCTCACTATGGGCTGAAGTTTCACAGAGTTATGCAAGGTATGTTTTGAATAAAAGAAGGATGTATCTGTGCTTGTTGAGAACTTTCTCATCGATTTGACGCTCCTGGGAAAGCATTTCTTCAAGCATATCATTATAGGCGTGACAGCTGGCTACACGTCTGAGTGAAACGAAATTTTTAGATGACAATGAGGTTCTGGCGACAGTACATGAATGGCTAGGGAGCATAGAGTTGTTGCAATACCATTGCGCTTGTCAAGGACTGGCATAAGTGTATTGAAATACACGGAGATGTGTTGAACAATGGTATTGTAATTATTTCAGTGTTTTAAGTAAGTTTTCTAGATAATTTCAGTTTTTTATTGAACTAAGCAATATCTTAGTAGTGTTTCAAAGAAAATGTAGCTTTTTCTTCATAATAATCATCACTTTCTCTCAATAAACGAACACTGAACGTACTATTACAGAAGACAGATCATATTTTCCTTTCGGAAAAAAAATCTGGTTTCTCTTAGCGGAATGTAACATCGGATTAATTTAAACATCGTTAATCATCGAAATCTCTTCCCTCTCTTTTGGATGCTAACTTACTTTTTCGCTTTCCCTTTGTGTGATGAAAATTATTCAATTCTCATCAAATTTAAGAATAAAATGGAATGACACATTGATTTAGACTATAAATAATTTCTAAATAATTCTATGTTTGTATATTTATTTTTTTTTCAGATTGTTAATTATTCTATGAAATAATTAGTATAATTTGAATTAACACTGTAATATGCATGATTATGAAACTCGTTCCCTATATCAATGTTTTGCGTATTAATATTTACTAATTACTAATCTTGCAATAATAATATTTTTGCAATTCATTGATAGTCTTGTTTTAACATTTTAGCAACGACTCAGTACATAATGAGAGTGAAGATGGAGAATACATTTTTTTAGGATTTATTGTTCCTTCAGTTTTATTTTCCGGGTGATTTATATTGTATTTTATATTCTTTTTAGGGGAAAGAGGACCTTGTTATCAGTATCATTGCTCTTACGGTGCTCTGTGTGTAGTCAAAGGTGGGTTTCCATCATGCGAATGTCCAACATGCGCTGAGGAGTTTGAACCCGTATGCGGCACTGATGGTATATCATACACAAATAACTGCAAACTACGCAGGGAAGCATGTGAACAGAAATCCGAAATAGCTGTCGCATACGTTGGTTTATGCAGTAAGTCTACCTGAAACTTTATTTCTATGTTAATTTACGACATTCATGTTTTGAAATTCCCTCTGAACATATGTATATACTTGTAAGAAAAATAATATATTTTTTACAGCAGCAGAAGTGAAATCAAAGATTTAAAATTTCAGAATTACTGTACATCACACCTGTAAAATTTCTCTGAGAGAAAAAAAATATATATGCCATTAAATGTAGGAAAATGCACGACTGACCATAAAAATTGCTACATCATGAAAGCTTCATACGACAAACGTCAAATTTGCCTGAACATTTGCTGAGATATGCAATTAGTATTTCAGCGCATGCACCCAAAGCAGGTACGATCAACGCCATCTACACTATGTATAAATTACAGAACGCGTTTTTCATTTGGAAATCGCATTTTGATTCCGGTTGTTTGTGTAACGACGTAAAGGTGTATAATGCCTCGTGTAAGAAGGAGAAATTCCTAACAAGAGATGTCGGAAATTCCTAACAAGAGATTCCTAACAACAGTGACAAGATAGTGGTTTATCGGGACTGCCGTTTATAGTCTTGCGAAATTGCTGCTCGTGTTGGTCGAAATCCCGTGACTTGCACGCGAATCTGGAATCGATGGATCTAGGAGGAAATTATTGAACGCCTGCAACGTATCAGCTGCTTCAGGCCACTAACCTCCGAGAGGACAGATATGGTGCCCTCTCGGCCTTCACATCATGTAAGCCGAGTCAAGAACTTGTCTGTAGGACATGTGTTAGGCTTGTGTGTAGGAAAAATATGTTTGCACGGACATGTATGCTGAAGCAAAACTGTCATATGTTCATTTTCGTAATTATATATTAGGTACCACCCGGTGATGCTGACTGTTAAGCTTCTGCCTCAATTTTGAAAAAGAATATGCCGAGGTGGAACTCTGCGGGTCGGCCAGCCCTCTTTCTCCAATATCAACCTTTCGACAGGACTTTTAGCTCGTCATGTATTCTGAGTGACTGTTTGCCTACAGACACTATACGCTATACAACATCTATGTGTTCTTTGGGATTCAAACCTGCGCACTGGTATGGCAGTCAGTGTTAATAATCACTATATCGGCTAAGCGGCTGTCCGCGATGACATCTGCAATATCAAGGGCTGTTATGGCTGTGACCACTGTTATACGGGTTCACTTGACATTACAGGCGTGTCTGCAGTGGTGCAACGAACTATGACACTGGACACAGATGTGGTACCACGTCCTCCTTTCGGATCCCGGATATCCATACAGCATCGTGATATGTGTATCCGTGTGTGGAGACACTAACGAAGATTCCCAACTTGCATTTGTTAAGGTCATAAGGGCCCCCCAGTCCTTGAGGTGCTGATATGGGTTATCATAGCGTAGGCATCATGATCACGTCTTGTTCGCATAACCGGCAATATGGAAAACCGCCGTTATATTTCTGACGTGTTAAGACTGGCGGTTATGCCCTATTTTGGAGACCGGCATGACTCCATTCTTCAATAAAATAACTCACGGCCGCAAGTTGCCCATGCTGTCATGAGCTTCCTCGATACAAAGGGTGTTCTGGCTCCCGGGGGATCGACGTAGAGAACTCTGCTAAGCTACTGGCTAGGATCTGTACTTGGGCAGTCTCGGTCACAGGGGTATACACATTATGAACTTGGTGGTTCTGAAGGTCCTGGGAAAGGTGACTCATTGGCCGGTCGCGGGGTCTGGCATGTCCTGAGCGTTACTGCTTTGGAAGCCAGGGGTGACAGCCCCCCCGGTTTGCTGGGTAACAACCCACTGCGACGGGCTCACCTGCGCGACTGGCAGGTAGCAAATTAACGACCAGTGCTGCCTGGTGAATTCCAGGTGGTGCGCCAGCCCCTATGAAGGGTCAGTGCGGATGTTGAACCTGCGCACCTGGTCCCGAGGGAAAGTTGGATCTGTAGTACGGACCTACGGAGTCACGTGGAGCAGAGCAGCCAAAATGTTATGTTATGTTATGTTATGATGCTCTGGCCAGCATGTTCTCCAGATCTCTCACCCAACAGTTTGACTGGATGCCCAGCCGCATCACAGCTGTTGTGGCTTCTAGAGGTAGCAACTCTGTGTATGAAATTCTGCCTGCTGTGTACCTCAAATGATCTGAAAATTTAACCATCAATCTATATATAGTTTTCCATAGTTTCAGTGTAGTAATTTTCTTCAGGAAATTTCCTAAAAGTTTTATAAAAACTTAAGGACAGTTTTAGCTCTGGAATTATAGCGCAAATTCACGTATCTTTATAAGAATTTCAAGGCCATACACATTTATAAATATTTAAAAAAAAGTATTGATTACATTACATATAAAATTTTAATAATCTCTAATCTGTTTATGTTATACGAATGAAAATATGTGCATATTATGCAAATGTAAATTAAGTCTCTAATTTTCATGAATTTACTAAATGTTGCAATAATCTTTAAGCGGAAAATTCTGTATCGCTTTAATATAGAGAATTTATGATTTAGTTTAATTATGCACTACAGATAGAATTTTAAACCTAATGCGCAATGTAATTAACATAAGTAAAATTTAGACATTAATTTAATGCTAAATTTAAAAGTTTAAAACTCTGCGATATATTTACATAGGATCACTACTCTTAATGTTGTTGTTACCAATCTCACCAATCCCACTCATCTGAAAATCGTCAGCACAAGCCACGACATTCATCGCGGCAAGGAGTAAAATGCGTCTGTCATTGGCAAAATCCTTGAGCTCCATATAGGTTACAGCCCGACTTTAGCTATCTTCCGCGCCCAATTTCGAGAGTGGTCACCTCGAGGGAACGGGTCCGAGTGTCCTCCATCCCACTTCGCCTCGATATCTGCATCTAATCATTTGCCAAGGAGTTTGTGAATAATCATGATCTGAACATAGTCTAGATTATGTTCACGCATCCAACAGTACCACGTAGGAAATCGTAATTCTCATCATTGACCAAGACCTTATATATCTGTTAGGTGATAATAGATTTTACCTAGCTTCGTCCCACTTTTGAGTGAGAACTTTCGGGAAGCCTGGTGGAACGTCTCCTATGCGTCTTTTCCCTAGCGCCGGACATGGTATTATTACGAAAGGCATAGCATCATCTATACTGATGTCTGTATTTGCGATCACCAACAATACGGCAGCATACAAACGTATCCTGGTTACAAATGACCGTAGTCACCAAAATCTGCAAGATCCTGGATTCAATATCAGCTCTTGGACAGAGCATTTGTCAAGTTCACTGAACAAGGCATTTCTTTGTGCAAACTTGTATGTCTCATCTAGTATGATTTCGTTTGTGCGGAGTATGTGTGCGTGACTCAGTGCTTTTATTCATGCTTTCTGTTCTCATATATGCATTATGTATATTTTATATATATTTATGTTTTATTATTGTGTTTTATATATTATGCTTTAGGTTTCGTGCTCTGGCATGGTTCTTTGCAGCCTCTGTCCTCAATACAGTAGCTATTGTATCGCCATCTAGACCTTGGAATTTACTTAAATTCATCAATAATCTCTGGATAGGGGAGGTTCTAACACCTATCCTTCTTCACCTATCATCAGTCACTCACGCGGACTTTTAGCTTGCCGATATTTTCAATACAAAGACACTACACATTTATAAACATCCATGTCTTCTCCGGTATTTGGAACCTGTTCCAAACGTTATGATAACCCGTTTCTCAAGCACCGTGGCAAAGAGGGCGACGAACGAATGGTTTAAAGCCTTGAATCATGGTTGATACTTTTCGATGTCTATTTCGATGAGCTAGCTTCATATATTCTCTCAGGTATAGGTTCAAACAAGGCATTCATCTATGCATCTGTCTAGGAATATTAGGTATCGCCGTAACTTGCTAACGAAAGCGAGCTCTTTGGTACGGCAGCCAGAGTCACTAACAACTATCTCGTCTGGACGGCCATATATTTCCACAGGTTGAAGCAAGGCCAGCAAGTATCCATTCACCTAGGCATAATTAGGTATCGCCGGGCTTTCATAACTGCTAAATTTTCTGCCTAGATGTAATTCCGAGGAAGAACAACCGTGGTGGCAGTTCGAGAAGCAGTTTGAGGATAACCCACATTTCTGCCATTACCACCAACTTCTCGAGAGGATTTAGGTTGGAATTAAACTCGGGCCCTTAGGAATGACATTCAGTGATAATAAATATCCCTTCTATCATATGTTCCCACGGTAGCATCAACAGATTTGTGGTGTATAATATTGCTTATGCTCTGGTAGGATACAGTAGAGAGGAAAGAAAAAGAAAAGTTTGTTGTCCGATAATTTATATTGTTTTATGAGAAGAAGTGAATGATAAGTAATATTCATTAAAAATTGTAAAATTCTATACTGCAACGGATTAAAATAATGAAACAATTCGAACTTCTACGGTAAAGTTTTAAAATTTTCCTTAATTTCGTAAATGTTTCACTCTATTTCTCAATTGTTACAATTATTTAAGTTCAAAGAGTTATTTTATTTCATTGAATTTCTACATTATGGAGATGAAAAACAAGTACAAGAGATTATTATTACTTATGTATGAAAAATTTATTTAAATTAAAAATATTCTCCACTTTTGAAGCTTCAGTAAAATCACACGTTGTACATTCACATAATGAATTGAAACAAAGAATATTTGCTGCTCAGCATTTTTTTTTTTTAAATAAACTGAATACAAAACAAACTTTATGTAGTTTATTCAACGCAAAATGTCGATTTATTCAAACGTTTTCGTTATCATATTATTTTGTAATTTTTTTATAACTTTATGTTTCATACAAAACTGTTACATTTCAAAAATATTTAATTTATTTTGAATAGGACTAATAAACATTCTGGAGAAAAGTAGCTAAAATAATTTTAAAAAGGCACAAAAGATAGATTTGTGTGAATATTTAATTTAAGCTAAACATTATTCTGTAATACAGTAATCAAGAAAACAAGAAACTCGTGTATAAATGTTTTCAGAAGTTGCAAGTTATGATAATCTCATCCTTTCAAATCAACGAATTTTCGATGTAAAAGATTACGTTAACAGTGATGTTATTGCTTTTTATAAATCCAGAATATGTCTCAGATATAATACATAGCGAAAGAATAGTTTTGTTTATCACATATTGAAGTGTATTTGTCTTTTTCAGCTGGTTGCGAGAATAAACGGTGCGAATACTATGCTGTGTGCGAGAGTGATGGTAGAGGAAACGGAAAATGTGTTTGCCCTCAGTCCTGCATAAAGGTGAAGTTTTAATATTAAAATTTATTTTAATATAACTTCTTCCTGCCTAATTATTCATGAAAGTTTTCGATTCCATGTATTATGCAGTATTTACTTAGATATTTGATTTAGGAATACTTTATATGAACTCTCCTGAATATTGGATGAAAATAATTTTCAAAGGAAGATGGCTTATGTTTTGCATAATAACCCTGTTAGTAATTTGTTTTTATTCAGGAATCTTTATAACGATCAAAAAGGCGAATCATCATTAATTTACTTTATCTAATTTAATTAATTATTATATGGCAAACAATTATAAACCCCGTAATTAATAATCAAAAGTTAATATTATTTAGTATCCCCTACAGCTAAGAATTATATTAATTTATCTAATCTAATGAGTAATAATAAATTATTGAAAGGTTAAAAGCAAATAGAAAAATAAAAAAGGAACAAAGACATTTCTCAGATCTAATATGCATAGAAAGAGCTTCTTATTTCAGTGAAATTTAATTACTTAGTCAAGACAAATCTAACAGACATAAAAAATAAATTTGTAATATTTGTAACTTTTTTAATTTATTAACTCATGTTTCTCAAGAAAACTGACTCGCAGTCAGTTTGAAAAACTTAATGCAGTATTCAAAAACACGATATTGCATTAATGAGTTTAAACATACATTTGTTGTCTGTTATTAACCAAGGGCCATGAATAGAGTAACATTTGTTTCAACAGCAAATTTTTGAAAAAAAGATTAAAGGATGAAAGGAATCAAGTCTGCAGCTGTATATTTAGAATCATGAACGCCGATCAGGATTCCAGTTAGTTACTTATTCCATTTAAAATTTGAAACTGACTACTGGCGCTTATAAAGATAAGGAAATCTCATCTAACTGTGATGGATATTGATGTGAAGCACTGCAAGCTTGTGTTTCCTAGAGAAGCTTGCGAAGAGAATGATATGAATTCATACCCTTAGGACTGTTACTTGAAGCAATGAATCATCAGGGATAAGCTGTTAGCAGTCCATTACCAATGCAGAAGGTTAAATTGATTATATGGTAGGAAACGAGCTATTCTGTTTCCTTTCGGAAACTGGTTAATATAGCTCTTAATTCTGTGTAATCCAATGGTTCGGTTCCCGCTTTAAACGCTCCTTTTTTGCTATCTTCTAAATTTATGAATTTCTTTCTCAAAATTAAAAATCTTGGTAGAAAATTGAACAGCAGTTATATTTTAATTTAAGTTGATTAAAATCTCAAATACTTTCAAAAATACTCTCAAGTCAAGAATATCAAAAAGTGGAAAGATTAACTCCTTGAAAAGTAATGAACCTGAAGAAAAAAAAAAAAAACTGGACTTTTGAGTGGTTCTCTGTCGTTTCCAGAGCCGATTAGATTTTTTATCAAAATTATTTTGCTTGAAAAATTCTTAAAATATTTAAGATCTATATCAGACGAGATACAAGCAGAGCTTGCTCTATCGACCGTGCAATGCATGCATTTGCGCGGATCGGCTAGTTTAGTGAGGGAAGTTTTTAATTTGAAAAAAATTATGTATTAACTTGCAGGTAAGTGGTAAACTATCGAAGAAGTAAACTTTTGAACCTGAGGGATAGAAATCTTTTGGCCGTCTTGCTCACAAATTATTCAAACAGATATTCCAACATCTAGAAAAGAAGTGCCAGAACTTTGCAACTTCGAAAGCAGAAATAATTCTTAAAATTTTCTTGCCTGTTCATGCTTGGATAATGGTGGAAAAGAAGTACATAAGCAAAAGAGCATTTAAGATATGACTGGTTCAAGTCCGTTCAAATGCAGGCTACAAGGAACTTCTCTCTGACGTCATTTTATATGATTCTAAAGTCTGCCATTTTTTAGAACATTCTATTCGTTTTTTCCTCTGTCCAATGGCCAAACATTTGCTCATTAAGCTTTCGTCAGAAATGGCCAAATCCATCAAGCATTTATTTTGCCATTTCATAGCCGAAAATGCTGTCCAGAGTGGGGACTGATATCACACAGGCGAAGAGAAAGAAGGAAAGGCAACGTAGCTAGCCAAGACATACATAGGAGTCGAACCTACAGCCTTGGATAGTAAAGTGATCTTAAACGGTATATATTGACGGTCTCAAGCGGTCTCTCAAGAGAGATTTTTGAAGCTGTCTTGAGAACGCTGGTTATAGTAGAAAACATATACATTCGTCAAAGAATATAGCTCTATCATTCCTAGCAGTAATAGTATAGATTCTAATTAAAGGAAATATGAATATTGCTGAGGAAAATAGACAGAGCAGGAAAAAAGATAAGAATATTTCAACTTTAGATTTTTATTTAAAAATCAAACACTATACTTGCTAGTAATACGACGATCAATAGGAACAGATTCCATAATAACACCAACCTTATCCCCCCCCCCCACTTTCTGTCTAAGAAAAGCAAAAACAAAAATGCTCAATTATCTCTGAGCAGGAGCATAGAAAGCAATTGTCATGAGACATTCTGCTCAGCTGCAAATTGTCAGCAGCCAAATTTTCATGTCCCTGGAGAAAGTTTCTGTATAACTTGTATTCAGCACGATCGTTTAGCTTCTACGTTTTACTAATATTATCATTATCAATGTTTGTATTAAATTATTTATTTGGTTCTGGGAAAGGATTCACATTTAACAGTGCCTCGAGTTCTTCTAGATAATGAAACTAATAAATTTAAACACATCATCCTTACAGTAAAATGCTCCCAATCCTCCAAAATGAATTTTATCATCCAGAAATATACTTCTAATGACTATTTTATTATTATTACTCCACCTTGAGGGCCTTTTCTGTGACTTTTAATGCTTTATTAATACTAATTATCCAATGATTTCTTTTCTCTAATCATGTATACATCCTATAAAAAATGAGCTATTGTTCAGAAAAATTCAGATCCACTTCAGGTTACAAAATCAAACTTTATCATTCGTTTTTTTCCCCTTCTGATGATTTTATATCTGTAATTTTGCGTTAATAATGATTGCAACTTGGATTTTAAAGTGAAGCTTTAAATGTAGAGATTAATCAAATGACAATTAAAGTTTTGCTGTACATCATTTGTATTGCTAATTAATAGTCATTACTCCTATCAACGAAATGATTTTTATAAACCTATAACAAAATTTTATTTGAATTTTTTAAACAATGCCAAATGTCTTTTAGTGGGCACTTAGAGATATGCTCGCAGGCTTATAGCTAAACTGTGGAAGGAGTTTCACTGCGTATTTTTATGCTCTGTGTCTTATTGTACATTTTGTTTAAGGACAGATTAAATTTTATCATTTCATGAAACAAAAATAACACTTCGAAGAGAAAGTTGTTTGTGAAATGTAAAATTGTACGCATTGTTTGCTATTTTAAAATTTTCTTAAAGCATAATGTTTTGTCGAAATTACATAGTATTGTTTATTTCAACGATATCTAATATTTACTAGAACTCTTATTTCAGTAAAGTAACTGAGTAATACATGAAGTTACAATAAGTAACTATAAAGTTTTTATTTACTTGAGGTAATGTAGAAAATTGTAACTGTAAATTTTTTATATTTATAATATTTACCGCTAATATTATAACAACAAAGCATAATTATTTAATTTTCTTTTAATCTGCTACACAAAATAAATAATGTGTTTTAGTGTGATATATTTTGATGGAGCTTTAAAATTCCTTTCCATATACAAAAAGAGTATTGTATTCACTTGTGAAAGAACAATTTAGTTTTAATTCCATTTTGTATAAAGAACAAGTATTATTTCTTTCCAGATCTTATTTAAATTTAACGTAGAATTTTTAAAATTAGGTAATCAAAATTAAAAAAAGAGCAGACAATCAATAAAAATAAGAATGATAAATATTATATTCGTGCTAACGAAACGCTAGCTACACTCACAAAGCACGAACCGGAAATGATGCAGAGTCTTTTCCCCTACTCCTACCGCATACCTACTTTCAAGTACCATACCTACAAATCCTGAACTCTTCCAACAAACAAAAGCGGCCGTTCCGGACTTGAGCGCCTTCTGGAAATATCTCCGATCTCACGCTGAACTAACAACTCGCAACAACAATAATTAAATAACTGAGAGAAGATGCTTTCTCTCCGGCCTTATATAGTTTTCAACCGACCGCCGAAAGTATTTCTAGTACTTTTTGCTTCTCAAAATTAATGGAAAGTAATATGAGGGTCGAATTACGGTTACAGCTAATATAGTGATCAATTGCATTTATTAAATTACAATACCTATTATAGTGATACAGGGATCGGACCCAGATGGGTCAAAGACAAATTTGGCGACTTTTATTGATTTCTCGCAAAATTTGGTGACGTAATCAAACCGTAACAAAACCGACGTAGCTAAAACATAACAAAAAGTCACCAAAACTGTTGTCAACTGGGTTATATCTTGCCAAATTACCCAGATACCCATTTACTCAATGTTAAGCGGACTTGCCACCTATTCTACTTTTCAGGCGTAGCTTCTCTCTATATCACATTATTCGGATTTAATTTTCAATAGCGATTCAGTTTTTGATATTTCGAATTGATCAGTCCGTATGAACTGTATTTCAAGAACGTCCTTAAAGCTCATGTAATTCCTCAAAGAGAAAAATTAAGATTTAACATCCAGTGATTCCATGTTAAAATAGCTTATGAATTTAAACGCTGTTACGTCCGGAAGTTCATGCTAATTGTTTTCAGATGGTAAATTTCGATAGATAATAACGTGTACATAATTTCCATAATATTAACACGTAAGGAAGTAATATTTGCATTAAATAAATCTTCATGGAACTGTCCTTTGTAATGTTTGGTTCTATAGCGAACGCAAAAATTGTATAATATCGAAATTTAAAAGAGTAATAATGAATAAAAATATTGAATAATATAAATAATGAAAACCTAACTCTGATTGCATTGATTTTAAAACCTATTATGAATGTATACTACATACTCCATAAAATGAGATTTAAAAACCTGGAGAATCTGTTCTATACTTGATTCTATTTGGGAATAATCTTAATGAATAACTTAATATGGTCTGGCTCTTATACGAAGCATGAAATTAGACCAGAGTCCTGAAAGACAACTGGTGAGTTTTCACAATGCCTTGCAAGTACCACAGAGACAGAGAAAGTGTGTAAAGGCAGGCACCTCTTATTAATCCAAATAACGTTTAATAGTCGGTACCGATTTGTGCTTACAGAAGCCAATAGTTTGGGCTTGAAATAAAGATAGCAGATAAATTAAAATTACTATAAGTATAGTCTAACGGCTTCAGAGCATAGCGCGCAAGCTGGCTCTGACGAAGTCGGCGTTAGCAAGCCTAATGGCAAGAATAACTCAACGCTACAGAATATTGATCCCTAGAGAATCAAAATTAGCAACGTGGCCTTAAAGCAGACAGAACACGCAAACAGGCAGATTTCACCCTTCAGGACCTTCCTTTAAATACTTTCTTCTTACTACCTAATATGAACATCACATGAGCTAGAAATTTACATTCTGGCAGGGAAATGGGAAACGAGGCTGATAGAAAAGGAAATTAACATATAACAGGTTAGAAACTTGTATGATACTCTATTACTTAATGGACATTTTCAGAGCTGGGCGAAATTAAAACCTTTAAAACTGGTTGTGAAACGCACTGGATAACATCTGTTAATAGGAAAGGATTTTTCAAAATAATGGAACACCTAAAAATAAGACAGTGTAGACGTTAATATCGTGTGAAATGTTTTATGTCCAAAACAGCTTGAAATCATTTTGGCAGGCATAGAAGTTATGAAGAACGGTTAACAGGTTTTTACACTTTCATTTATCAGAAACTCTCCCATTCTTTCAGAGTTGCTAAGAGAGTAAAGCGGGATCTCACTATAATTCTAGTACAGATCGTGTGTTTGCATGATATTTAAGTCAAAAATATTTAAGTTATTATTATTCCAATTGATTGTGGAAAGCATGGAAAATATGAAATTTGATCTTCATATTCTGCAAAGTACAACTGAAAAATTCGACTTTAGTGAAAGGTGTTATTATTATTCTGAAAAATGGAGTTGACCGCAGGAAAGCATTGCTGCCCATTGAATGGATGCGATTGTTTAATTGGACTTATTAGATAATTGGAATAATGATAACGGCCCAAAGCCTAGGTGAATCTCCACCATATTTTACTGTAGGAATGCAGACAAGAATGCTGCTGTGTGCCACCCATAAACTCCTCTTGGAGTAGGAAATAATATGACGATTGATTTGTCTGAAACCATCTTTTTTTTCGTTGATCAACATTTCAAGATTCATGTTCCTGGTACCACTGCGGTTTCTAATTTGCAGTTATTTGTGAAACATAAAATTTTGATATAGCATTTATGCGGTAAATACTTCGCTTCTGTGGTTTCCTTCGCATTGTATATGTTAAAACTGGGCTTTGTAAATATATAATTAAGCTCAAGTCACTTTTTTCGTAATATCGTTTTTCTTTTTGAGGTAGCAATCTCTTTAACGTCTTTCCGGCTCTGTCAGTAAGTTTCGTTTCTCTCCCAAAACTGTGTCTCGCATACGATATTTTCGAAAGATATGTATACTATCATGATTTTAGGCAGAGTATCCCTCGGTATCCACAACAACTACTACTGGAATTACATATACACTAGCAATTTGGGCACGAACAATCTGTCCTTTTTTTTAGTCATGTCACTCATTTTCCGTGACTACGAACTACATTTTACAAACATAACTAAAATCTTCTATTTAACACTAACTTTGAAAATATATGTAAAATAATCTTACAAAAAAGTACTAGTTGTTTTTATAATTTACTGCAGAAGAAAAGAAAAATTAGTAGTTTAAGCATAGTGTTTCCTTTGTATTTTACAACCTCTTTATAACTTTTTCAAAGTATTGAGTTTACTGTCTCAATTTCCTAAGAATATAGAGATTTTTCTGACTAGGTAGAGGCTCTTATATGTGGCACTGATGAAGTTACTTACCAAAATGAATGTGAGATGAGAGTGGCGGCTTGTAGGAAAGCACAATATGTGATGGTTGTATCTAAAGGACCATGTGGTAAGTGAGCAAATCGTTAAATTGTGCTTTCAGTCCATGATATTATTTGGTTTATTTTCTAAATGTACATACAGCTTCGTACATGTTTTAAATTATTTCTGTAGATTTGTGTCAGCACGTGCACTGCAAATACGGCGCTAGATGTGAGAATGGACGTTGTGTCTGCCCTACCGACTGCCCCCAGGTGTCTGAGACCGTCTGTGCAAACGATGGAGTTACGTACCAAAATGAATGCCAGATGCGCCATGCGGCTTGTTTGCATGACCAAGAATTAAATATGCTGTTTTACGGAGAATGCGATGATGTTGGCGAGTCTCAAGGTTAGTTGGAGATTTCGATCTATATTTGTTATAGAAAGGAAGTAAATTAAAAAAAATATTATATTTGCCGAGAGTAGGTTAATTTTCAAATAATTTTCCATCGAAATAATATAAGATACTGATTTTTAGTAAACTTACGTTTTTCGTTAACGTATCAATCACTCTAGCATTTGACGTATTGTCAATAGCTGTCCAATACCATGAATTAGTAAAATTACTGTTTTGAAAAAAAAAAAAAAAAGGCTTCTAAGTATCTGAAAAGTGTCTGATTTTAAGAATAATGAGGTATGTCTTCTGCTTAATAATACTTTTGCATGACACCTTTCTCTGTCTCCGTTCAAGATAAAATAAAATATAGAAAAACGACCTACAAATTTCATGTTTGTCGAAACAGCAAAGTATGTAAATTTATGGGATTATGATGAAGTATGTCAACCATTATTGGAGAAGTCAGAGAACAAGAATCAGTTGTATATTTATAGAAGTATCAAAGTTTTCAACAACTGGCACAAAAGTATAAACCGATACTAATACAACGACAGAAAGATATGAGCCAATACTAGCATATGTATCATAAAAATTCCTGATGTCACTTTCGAATTTAGTAAAACACAATTGTTTTGACATTCATATTCGATTTAGATAAAATGCGCCATTTTCAGGACATAAGATAAAAATTTAGATTTTTCATTTTTGTTGCTTCAAAATAAGGAACAGTCTTACATTAGGTTCCGCCAGTGGTCAAGTGATTAAAAGTGCCGAATACTGGCAGTTCCAGCCTCAGGCGAACTGGCTAGCTGGATTTCTCGCTTTCATGGTTATCTCTATGTGCAACGTGAATTAGAGGCAATTTTCCTTAGAATGTCCTTCAGGAAAGCATCCCTTTTCTTAAGTAGCCAACCCTAGTGTGCTTTGTTCTATTTAAATCACGTAATATAATGTCTAACATTAGCCTGTGATAAAATATTTTTAAAAAAATAATGGGGGTGGGAATTCCTGAAAATTTGAGATGCACTATTGAATGAGAATTTGAATTCACCAAAACAATGTTGGAAGCATGATTTAGGGCGATGTTACATTTTAGAGCAATGTTACGTTTTCGTGACTGACTGTGCTTTAGAGACCATAAATCCTCATAAATTTTGCCGGTAAGAATGATAGTATGATGTTAGGAATTTATGGATATTTATGGTACATTATTTTTAATGATTAATTGGTCGAAAAATGATTAAGATGTACCTACTTAAATGCGATTAGATAGCTAAAACCTTTTTCAGTCAGAACATTCAGCTACAGAGTTTCACAACGTGGTAGTTTACTAATACACTGGTTCTTTAAACCATTCCGCTGTAGAATAAGCTTGATCTAATTATGCACATTTTGTTTCTGCATATAAAACATGGATACATGATTCTGAGAAATACACTGCTCAGTTTCGATCACTGATGAATTTCAAGAAAATGTTTTTCTTTATTCGTCTGTTTCTTCTGTGATCAGTTTTAACAACCACGATTTATATAATATTCACGGGCATGCAAGAAAACCTGCGAAAATTTCTGAAGGCTGTACCTGAAAACCTGCGAAAGCCACATTTATAAACATTTTCAAATAAATGAATGAATCAGTAAATCGTAGAAGTGTTCGCATTTTCCATAAAAGATGTCAACAAGGGAATCCTACTTCGTGCATAATGCATTTTGAATTTCGTTCGAACATGAAACAGAACAGTTCGAACAGAATATGTGCTTTTTGAAGCAATTTCTTTTTCAGTTTTTGAAAAGCGAATGACATTTAAGAAAGTATGCAATATAAACCTGGGGTAAGAAATAAATAAATGGGCATTAAAAAAAAAAAAGAAAATGAAAGCTCTGAAATATTAACTAAGAATAAAAAGCAGAATTTTACATCCTAATATGGGTACATTTAACGTACATTTTACACAAAAGTACACACTGCGGGAAAAATGACTTTTATGTATGTACCGTTTCAGTGGGCGACTGACGAAATTCAACTTGCGTTTTTCATGTCTTGAAAGCACGACTGAGAATATACATTAGATTTATATATAGCATTGCTCTAACATAGGTATTTTGACACAAAATCAGACTTTTTCTGATTTGCATTTTTAATTTTTCTGAAATATGAAATAACATACGCTGTTTTTACTTCCTTGTACGAAGTAAAAAGGAAGTATTGTAATCGCGAAATGTTTCAGGCAGCATTTTCAACAAAAATGTCCATTTTGACCGCTTTCGAATGCAATTTAAAGATGTATTTGCGTGATATCTGTACTTAAGGACAGAATAAAAGACGCTTTTCCTCCAAAGAATTATAAAACTGCTTTAAAATGAATTCTGAAGAGAATGTTTTCGTGGCGTCTGTACAAACGTACATACGTATGTATCTCGCATAACTCAAAAACGAGTAGCCTCAGAACGTTGAAATTTTGTATATAGCACTGCTATAACAGTTAGATGTGCACCTCGTATTTTGGTTGCAATCGGTCGCACCAAACGTATCTAAATATATTTATATATATATCCAATATGTTACCCGGCTCAGTGATCTCAGTTTCTTTACTCTTATATGTTTGTGAATTGTACATTTCTTTGCTTTAAAAATGATTGAATTATGTTGTTCTTATCTTCCGGTTAAGATTTTTATGCCTTTAGTAAATCTGTATGCAATATTTTTAGAATTATCAATAATTTTAAAATTGTTTAAGTGACGCTAAACCTAATAATTTTTCTGATGGCGGCCATTGCTTGTTTACATTTGAAACAGCAGAGTAGTGGATTTGTTTACAATTTAGAGAAACGTAGCTTCGCAACAACAAAGATAACGCCTTCATTTATTATTGCGAATTAAATCATGCTTAATCATTTTTGGAATTTTTTCGAGAAAATAAGTGTTTAAGATTTACTTCGTAATTTTTAATACAGATATTTTGGGTTTTTATGTATTTTTGCCTTGTCGTGAAGTAAGAACTGAATTAATTGAATGAGAAATACTAAATCGTCTGGGAAAAACTGTTTCTTTTTTTATTTTGCTTGCTTAATTTCTTTTATACATCGTTCTAGCTTTATTATAGTATTTGAATAGAACATGTGGCAACGATTAGATAATTCTTCAAATGATATAAATTTTGTGCATTCTGAGTTATAATATGAACGAAATATAATATTGTTAAGTGAACCTAGCGCCAGAGTGTCGCTATGGTAAACAAATCGAGTGAATTTTAAAGAATGCATTTATTCTATTGTGGTTTATGCGCTGTCGGCCAATTAGGTTTAATTCAATCCAATAAGTTTAAACGAAATGCAAGAAGAAATGGGTATCATTTAATATTCCGTACAAGGAAGTCATGTGGTGTACACATCAGATTTTTTTCATATTTCGATTCTACGGCTCAAATTATGCTCGTATATGAAATTTTGTAAATCTTCTGAGAAACTTACTGAGGAATTCAAAAGTTAATTTTGGTACACGTTTTTTCAGTTTGCACAAACAATAATTCACTTGGTGAAATTCTTAATTTATAGTAACTTATTTTCTTTTACCTTTTCTCACTGTGCAAGAGCGGAAATAAAATTGCATCGTTCATTCTTTCAAGTAATTTTAACTAAGTGCGTTATTATTGTATATAACAAATACGCCAAATTTCAAAACTCGCCGAAATATAAATTCACGTATATCTTTGGAAATTTTTAATAAAAAAAAATTATTTTTTGCCGTATGCCCAGAAATACATCTACTTTAAGGAGATAGTGAAACTTTTATAGGTTATAGTTCAAAAATGTTTTCGAAAAATTTATAAAAACTACAAAAATTAAAAAAAAAAAAAAAATCAGAAAATATTTTCGAATTTTATTTGGATTGAAGCGAAATTCGAACTGCGAAATAAAGAATCAGGTAAGTTTAATAAAAACAGAAATATTAATAAATATAGCATACCGAAGGAGCTAAAAATCTGAGAGGTAATGTTTTAAAAATGTTGAGAAAATGATAATTTAACTACAATATCAGTTAATAGAAACAGGTAACATTTCATTTAATTTTATATCAATTATCAGTTTTTACTGCCATGGGAAAGTAAATAATTTTTATTAAATTGTTAAAAGAAATAATGCATGAGAAATAAAAACAGAGTCATTTAGCAGTTTGTCATTTTCTCCCACTAAGATGGTACAGATAAATGAATGATTATTTCGATTTTAAATTAGATTTCAAAATACAGTCTGAGTGTTCCACTAGCTGCTCATGCATTTATTTAAATTTTCAAAGATTACTACTTTTTAAAATTCTTTTTGGTTTTGAAGTGGCTTTTTAATCACATGAAATATTTGTTTTTGCATTCTTTACTCATCTAAGTCATTTACTTATTGAAAAATCAGTTAAAATTTTATTTTCCTTTTACCAGGCGCAGGGTATATTTAAAAGTAATTAAGACTTGTTCGCCAAAGATAACAGTTGATCAACATGAGTTTTCGGCAGGATTTAATCAGATTTTTCGTTTTCCATTGATGATATTTATATGTAAAATACGATACAAGCTTCCGTTTCAATAACTGAGAAACAAAATCACTTTCATTTTAAGAAGTGTGGTTATAATTATTACAAATTCAAAAACATGCGTTGACATCAGACATGTCAAGACAGAAACAAATAATTTTACATTTTATTTTTGTTTATATTTATATTGTTAATATTCAATTATGTTTAAGTCTAGAAGTTTGCTTTCAAGACCCGAAATTCTTATTTTTCCTAATCAACTTACAAATAAATATTTGCGCTTATTATTGTTTTATAATAATAACAATGAAGCAACTTAATGATGCATTTAAAAGGCAGAAAAAGTGTGTTTTCTTACTAGCAATTTCAGTGGGTATTTCCTAACTGTGAGGAAACTTTTCTTTATCCCACAAAATTTGTGTTACACTTAGCTTCATAAGTAGAAGTTTTCCAAATATTTCATCAGTATTATCTCAGTGTATGAAAAT